AAGGGGGCCCTGTAACTCCAGCATGCCAGGTTTTGGTGAACAAGCCTGAGCTTCCCCTTCCCATCTGCAGGTTTAAAAATTCCATCCCATCTCCCTCCACCTTCAGCCCTGCAGTCTGAAGGGACCTGGTCTCTGACCTGTGCCTGGAGCCTGGCAGTGCGGGCACAGCCATTACCTCACGCCAGCCTCCAGTTAGCTGGCGGGGCAGAGGGCACACCAGGGGCCCAGAATCAAGGGCCGTAGAATCAAGGGGCGGCACGCAGCCCCACCTACACCCACGCCTCTTTTGGGGGCTGACTTTTACCCCAACCCTAATTCTCTGAGTATTTTCCAGTTCCTGGCCTCCAGAACTTTCCTCTGTAATGTTTCTGTGGGGCGATTTCCCTCTCAGTTCCTAGTATGGATTCACCCTGGCTTCGTCCGTGCTGATGATGTATTTTGTCCCTGGCCCTGACCCCAGAATACCATGAGGGGGTCACTCCAGAGATGGGGGTGCTAGGACACAGCAATCACAGTAACAGCAACACTGACCATGTGAACTAAGGGCTTTATTTTTTTTTAATAATTTTTTTTTTTTTTTTGGCTGTGTTGGGTCTTCGTTGCTGCACGTAGGCTTTCTCTAGTTGCGGCGAGCAGGGGCTACTCCTGGTTTCGATGCGCGGGCTTCTCCTCGGGATGGCTTCTCTTGCTGCGGAGCACGGGCTCTAGGCGCGCGGGCTCTAGAGCGCAGGCTAAGTAGCTGTGGCGCACGGGCCTAGTTGCTCCGCGGCACGTGAAATCTTCCCAGACCAGGGCTCGAACCTGTGTCCCCTGCACTGGCAGGTGGATTCTTAACCACTGCGCCACCAGGGAAGTCCCTGGCTTCAAGTCTTGTAACCTCTCTGAACCCTATACTCTTGGGGCATCTGACCTGTGTTTATTAAACCACTGCTATGTGCCAGGCTTGTTCTGGTTGCTGGGAGAAATGCCAGTGAACAGGAAAGGCCCGGGCAGGGCTTGCCTCTGGGGGCTCGAGGCACCTGGTGTGCCACAAAGGCATGATAGGTGGGCAAGTAGAGCCCCGCCAGCTCAGTGCCCCCGCCAGCTCAGTGCCCCCAGCAGCTCAGAGCTCCCTTGCCCGCTCGGCAACCCCAGAGTCACCAGGCAAATCCCGTCTCCCGTGTGCGCAGCCCAGCAGGCTCTGCCAGAGGCTTTGGCACAGTCAGGCCCTCTGGTTTGTCTCTCTCCAGTCGAGTGGAAGCCCACAAGGGCAGGGAGTTTCGTCGTGTGCTTTCTTTCCTACACTTAGGAAAGTGTGTCTAACACGTGTTAAATGAATGAATTACTGAGCTCTGAGGATTCTGCGATTTCAAACGTAACCAGCTGAGTGAGAAGCGGTGGTTGAACGGAAGAAATTTCCAGACAGAAAATTAGTTTAAAAGTTTGAAATGGTAACCACCTTCATCCATTCCATATCCACCCCTGACATTCACACACACACACACACAATCACATACTTGTGTACTTGCAGGAGACCACCTCTACTGTGGGGTATGGCAAAGACTGTAAGAATGTGGGGTTTGAAAGGATCTTGAGAGAGCATCTCATCCAACCCCCTCATTTTATCAAGGAGGAAACAGGCTCAGAGAAGGGCCTCGACTTGCTTGAGGCTGTCTGTAGCAGGGCTAGAGTCGCAAGGTCCTCGTACCCTGTTGTGTGTTCTCCCTTCTGGACCTGAAAGGCCTTTTTGGCTATGCCAACTGCAAGCCTGGAGAGGCTGCTTGGCCTCCGATTGGAAAGCTCCCTTCCTGCCCCACAGCCTGGGGGAAGCAGGCCTGCCAATTCCAGCTCCTCTCCAGAGCTGTGGCTAGGTGAGGGGCTCAGGGAAGCCGAAGGGCCCCCTCGGGATCACAGCACGTCAAGGTGGGAAGGGACCTCAGTGAGTATCTCATGCCACCAACCACACTGTACAGCTGCAGAGACAGGAGGGACTCGCCCAAAGTCACACAGCAAGTCAGCGTTGAAGCACAGACCAGAGACCCAGGACTCCCGAGTCCTGGCTCTAGGCTCTTTTCTCGTGTCTGAACCCTTCAGAAGGGTCAGGTGATTCCCAACTTTTGGCAGGTGTGTGTGTGCAGCGGAAGAAAGACTCATCAAAAGTCCTAAAGCATTGGGAATTCCCTGGTGGTGCAGTGGACTAGACTCCGCGCTCCCAATGCAGGGGGCCCGGGTTCGATCCCTGGTCAGGGAACTAGATCCCACATGCACGCCGCAACTAAGAGTTCACGTGCCTCAACTAAGGAGCCCGCCCGCCGCAACTAAGACCTGGTGCAACCAAATAAATAAAGATTTTTAAAAAAGAAAGTCCTAAAGCGTTTATATCTCCCTCTCCCTTCCCCCGGGTCCTTGCTCCAAAGACCTACGACGCCACAGGACCCTACTGGTCCCATAGGTGTCAGGGGCAGAGACACGGGTGTGCGATTAGTCACACCTTCCCCTCCCTGCCTTCCAGGGAGCTTTGGCATCTATCTTCTGTTCCAGCTGGGCTGCTCTGGCAATGGCTGTGGGGAAGAGGTGGAGAAGCCATGAAGGCTCTGCTGATTTCCACTGGAATGAAAAGAGAGAGGGCGAGATCCAGAGAGAAGGAGGAAAGTAAGGAAGAGAATAACGAATGCTAGGTTCCTTGGGGGGCGGGGGTTTGCACAGAATGTGGGGGACAGCTATTGTCCACGGAAGGGTTGGACTGTGGGCAGAGGCTGGAAGTTTTGTTCCTTTCATCACAGCACCATGCTACGTGCTACGAGGGAACAAGAGGCAACTCGGCTACACTTGGGTCACACACCTATTCACTGAACGCATACTTACTGATCACCTGCTGAGGGCCAGGCCCTGTGGGAGGCAGAGGGATACAGTAACAAACAAAACAGACTAGGTCCCTGCCCTCATGGAGCTGACATAACTAGGGGCATTAAAGAAGCAGACACTATGAAATAATGTTGAGCTGGGATAAGTGCTGTGGATAACCCAGAGCAAGGGCTTAGCTAGACAGTGCGGCGTGCGGGGTGGCGGGTGGAGGGGGAAGCAGAAGAAGGCCTATCTGAGGATGGGCGACAGAAGCTGAGCCCTAGGAAGAGAAGGCGCCAGCGTATGAGAAGGGGAAAGAGGATTCCAAGTGGTGGGAACAGCTTTACAGAGATCCCAAGGTGGAAAAGGATGTGGTTCGTTCAGGGAACTGATGGGGCCAGTTCTGCTGCACAGGAAGGCCGCAGACAGGTGGAGAGATGGGTGGGGCCAGCTCCTTCCTGCAGGTTTGGGGTAAGGGGTTTAGAATTTTTTGAGGGGGGCGGCCAGGACTCACGGCTTGCTGGATCTTAGTTCCCCCACCAGGGATTGAACCCATGCCCTCAGCAGTGAAAGCGCGGTGTCCTAACCACTAACTGCCACGGAACCCCCAAGGGGTTTAGATTTGATGGCAAGTATAGTAGTTGGGAACCACTGCAGGGTCTACACCAGGGAGAGGCGTGACGCAATTTACATTTTAGGAAGGTCACATTGATGCTGCTTGGAGAGTGGACTGGAGGAGACAGGGAACCACCCAGGGAGCTCCCACAGTCATTCGGGTGAGAGATGATGGTGGCCTAAGCCAGGACGATGGCAGTGGACATGGGAGAGAAGGACGAAGTTGCCACGTGCTTGAGAGGCAGAGCAGTCAGGGCTTGCTGGAGGCTTGTAGTATGTAGGGTGCGGGAGAGCATGGGGTCAAGGATGACTCCGGGTTTACTGACCTGAATGCCTGGGTAGAGGTGGCACCATTCACACGGACCCCCTAAAAGGCAAGAATAACCTGCCCCAGTGCTCCAGGGAAACTTGGTGAGGGAGCGGAGCTGAGGGCAAGGAGAGGAAGAAACAAAGTGGGGTCCAGGACTGCAGGCCAGGAGCAGGAGGGCAAGGGGCCCACAGACAAACATGGCCTCCTCACTGGGGACAGTACCAGAGGGGCAAGTCCAGATGGGCCCTAAAGGAACGCAGTGGTGCCCAGGGCCCTTCAAAGCACACTGGGTGCTGCAGGGAACTAGAGGTCAGGGAGCCCCTCCAGGACTTCCCTTCCAGTTCACGCAGCGGAGGACCGAGGCCCAGGGCTAGGGGAAGACCTGCCCGCCGATGAAACCCCTCCTTTGGCACAGTCCCTTGGTCGTTTTTCAAAGGGCCACATACGCATGCGTCTAACCTCAGGAAACGTTTCCAGCCCTTCCCGTTAGTGACCCTCATCATTTGGCAGCTCTCCCCCCTCCTCTCACAGACCCACTTCCCTCCCAACGGGGGCAAAGCCCCATGCACCGCTGAGCCTTTACTCTCACCTGCCCCTGCCAGCCACACCCTTCTACCCCTTTCCGTCCGGAGAATCTTCTCTTCTTCGGGATCAACGCAGGATCCTCGAAGCCAGAGCGAACAGCCACTTCCCACCCCGGGATCCTGCCGCAACGTGCTTTAATTTCTTTTTAGTGCCAGTGGTTGCTGCTTCTGTGCGTGTCCCCGGCTCGGACGGTCTGCCTTCGACCCCGTACCCGCGACAGACGCCCAGAAAATCCGTTCTAAATTAGTGACCCAGGCGGGCTCGCCCGCACATCTCCGGATTCGCTCCCCCACACCCTTTGAGCTCCTTGCGTTCGGGCGCGCAGCCGCGCTGGGCCCCGCTGACAGGCCCGGCTCACCCGGGGCGCTGAAGGGCCGAGGGAGGCCCTGGACCCCGCGAAGGGACAAGCCAGGGAGGCGCCCGGCGCTCCCGGATCACGTGACCGCCACCAGCAGGACTCTGTCACGTGACGGCGCAGCCGGCGAGCGTTTTTCTCACGTGACGGAGGTGCAGGCGTGTGGCCCAATGAGGAGGCGGGGGCGGGGCTTCCGGGGGCGGTGCGCGGGAAGAGAACCCGGGGCATGTGTGGCGGCAGGTGAGACCCGGAGGGGAGCAGCGAGCTGGGGTGCAGTCCGGGGCCCGCCGCCTGTCACAACCCGGCCGCGGGGAGCAGCATGAAGTGTCTGGTTACGGGCAGCAACGTGAAGGGTGAGTTGGGGCCAGCCGGGGCTGGGGGCACGTGGGACGGCCCAAAGCGCCAGCAAAGCAGTGTTTTTCTCCTCCTCCCCGCAGTGCTCGGCAAGGCCGTCCACTCCCTGTCCCGTGTCGGGGACGAACTCTACTTGGAGCCCCTGGAAGCCGGGGTGAGGAGCCACGGTATTGGGGGGGGCGGTGAGATTCCCACAGGGAGCCCTAACCTGGGCTCGAGTCTCGCCCCCATCAGATAGGATACCGGTGGGCAAATTTGTCTGCTGAGTTACAGTTTCCTCCTCTGTTGCTGGGACGTCACCCTGAGCCCTGTCATCTTCCCAGACCAGTGTGTGAATTGAGAGCGTTTGCCCTCCCTGAAGTGCCCGGGGGCGGGTGGGGTCAGCGCTGAAAGCTGCGTAGGGCCCTTGCTGCGGGAGCGGTGCTGAGGGCCACTCCGGGAAGGCTTCATGGAGAAGACACACGCTGATTGGAAGGAGAGGGAGGGATTCAGCAGACGATGGTGGAAGTGGAGGATATTAGGGCAAGTGTGTGAGCAAAAGCCGGCCAGAGGGCTGGGCCTGACATTGCTGGTGACTGCATCCGTCTCCCTGCTTTTCCTGGCCCAGCTCTCCCTCCGGACCGTGAACTCCTCCCGCTCGGCCTATGCCTGCTTCCTCTTTGCCCCGCTCTTCTTCCAGCAGTACCAGGCGGCCACCCCTGGTCAGGACCCGCTGCGCTGTAAGATCCTGATGAAGGTGAGGCCCCTGCCTCAGCCGTGGCAGTGCACTCCCCCAGGAACCTCTAGCACAGTGCGTTTGCTCTGAGGCACACAGTAGGTGCCAGCTGGAGAGAGAAACATATGCAGGAGCATTCCAATGCAAAATGCAGTGCAGGGGCATAGTACGGACATCCACAGGGTACAGTAATGGGAGATATGGAGAGGCTAATTGATTCTGCCAGGGACCTGCAGAGAGTGGTGCCATTCAAGCTGGTCCTTGAAAGGTAAGCAGGTCTTTCGAGGCATTCCAGAGACAAGGGGAACAGTATGAACGAAGGCCTGGAAGGGTGTAAATGTCTGTGTGTGGGGGAGGTCCTTTCCTGGTGTGACAGTGCTGAGCCCGTGATGGGCCAGAGCCTAAGGGGATGTGAGAGCTGGCTGGTGGAGGCGCGGCACTGGGCTGATGTGTTTCCATCGCCTAGTCGTTCCTGTCAGTCTTCCGCTCGCTGGCGATGCTGGAGAAGACCGTGGAGAAATGCTGCATCTCCCTGAATGGCAGGAGCAGCCGCCTGGTAGTTCAGCTGTACTGCAAATATGGTGAGTGAGCAGCTGGCTGGCCAGGTCGTCCTTCAGGCATGGGGTGGAGGTTGGCGAGGCCCACTGAGACCCTGTCTGCCCATCCAGGGGTGAGGAAGACTCACAACCTGTCCTTCCAGGACTGCGAGTCCCTGCAGGCTGTCTTCGACCCAGCCGTGTGCCCCCATGTGCTCTGTGCCCCAGCAAGGTGAGCACGCCCCCTGGTTTCAAGCTGAGGCCTAGGTTTCTCTCTTCCTTCTTTGGGCCTCAACGGTCAGTTTAAGAAGGCACCTCCTCCATTTTCC